TACTATTTTGGCGAAACTTTTTATTATAAATGTTCTATTATAAAATATAACATTTAGAAATGCTAGAAATGAAACAGTATTCGAATTAAAATGATTTCAACACAATAATTTAAACTGAAAATATATTCAATTGTAGCGTACGTACAACCAGAATATGCAATATGCTAAAAGAGTTGTCTTCACTTCTGCAATACATTGCATGATATTTGAAATAAAAATAACATCGCTTTGCTTATTTATTCAATTTTATTTGTTATTATTTGACGCAATCGTTTGTTTGTTTTTTTATCGTTTATTTAATATTTAGCTTTTTGTGTGTGTGCGTGAATGTTATTGTGCAATGAAACACACGGGCATTTCTGTTTAAAAACATCAGAGTAGTCGTGTTCCTGGAAGTAGGAGTGAGATCCAGGCAAATGAGAAACGGAAAGTGGGCTGTACCGCGTTCTACGTAACAGACAGGGGAAGATCTCCAGTTCAGTCCCAACATTTCCTCACTTTACCCAAAGCCGCGCACAACATCCCAACAGTGACTGCGCGCGGTGCCAGGACGCGCGCGCACACACACTCACACACACACACACGCACTCTCACACACACGCACGCTGTGAGTCTGCGAACTGCATGTGCACGAGCTGTGGATTTCCTCCATAATGTTGGGCGCAGTGAAAATGGAAGGACACGAAACTCCAGACTGGAGCAGCTACTATAATGATGCACAAGAGGTGAGAGACATTTATTACTGCGCTCTGATGTCTGACACTCTGATGACCGCTCTGGTAGCCAGAAAGTTTGCAACTGAGTGCACGTAAACAATGCTATAACAGATTGAAAACTGGGGCTTACGCTGCAAAAAATCTTTTAAAGTTACATGTCAAATATTGTACAGAAATGTTGTTTAAAGGTGGGACAATATTCGCAATTGATTAACCCACTTGGTGGCGGTAGTGATGCCGTTGGAAGTGGGTCACAATGGTGTGATATTGGTAGTTTAGCAGATCAGCCGAATTTAAAGTCAGTCATTTCAAATGATCAGCGATACACGTAATAAATAAATAAACAAACGTTCCAGATAGGTTTTTTTTCTCTGAAGATCTATTTTGGTTCTCCAAAGAAACTTTCAGTGAACAGTTGTAAAAATAACAGTTTTACCAGAAGAACATTTTAATAATGCAAAGAAATATTTTTTTCTAAATACACTATTGTGAAAAGGAACGTTTTTGTAAATGTTATTGCATTAAATGAACTGAAACATTTACTTTTTTTTTGATTACGTACGTATACACAATTCTCATGTCTGTTTTTGTCTAGTTCAATTTGAGCGATTGTAAAGTGAAATCATTTATTAACTTTAACGCAATAAAAGTGTACAATGTTTACACTTCTACAATAAAAACAAGCATATTGCGATGGCATATTCAGTGTTCGTTATTTTAAGAAGAGCACGTTGAAAACATTAGTCTATCGATTACATCAACAAATACAAATAATTTTCATAATTTTCAATGGCGATTAATGAAATTGCGGTTTTGTTGCTTTAAATGTATAATCAGCAGCATTATATATTTTAACTAACCTAATTGTTTAACGAACTATTTGTAAACAATTTGAAATTGAATGATTGTCTTAAAAACGTGCATAATAGCCAAATATATAATTTTTATAATAGTAATAAAGACACATTTATGTATTTTAGGTCTATTCTCCCATGACGAACAGCAGCATGAACCCTGGGCTGAGCTCCATGAATAATATGAACAGTTACATGGGCATGTCCACCAGTGGGAATATGACTTCCAGTTCTTTCAACATGTCCTATGCGAACCCAGCGCTCGGCGCCGGGCTGAGCCCGGGCACCATGGCCGGGATGCCCACCGGTGGCGCCATGAACGGGATGGGCGGCGGAGTGTCGAGCATGGGCACTGCGCTCAGCCCGTCCAACCTGAACGCCATGACGGCTCAGCACAGCTCCATGAACGCGCTGAACCCCTACACCAGCATGAGCCCCACCATGAGCTCCATGACCTACGCGCAGCCCAACCTGAACCGGGCCAGAGACAACAAGACTTTCAGGAGGAGTTACCCGCACGCGAAGCCCCCCTATTCCTACATCTCCCTCATCACAATGGCTATCCAGCAGGCACCCAGCAAAATGCTTACCTTGAGTGAGATTTACCAGTGGATAATGGACTTGTTCCCCTACTACCGTCAGAACCAGCAAAGGTGGCAGAACTCCATCAGGCACTCGTTGTCGTTCAACGACTGCTTCGTCAAAGTGTCCAGGTCACCCGACAAGCCGGGAAAAGGCTCCTACTGGACCCTGCACCCTGATTCTGGGAATATGTTTGAGAATGGCTGTTACCTGCGAAGACAGAAGCGCTTTAAATGCGACAAAAAGTTGCCCGACGGAAAAAGGTCAGAGGGAAAGAGAGAGCAGTCCAGCGGCTCGGGCTCTCCGGCCAGCGACAGCACCAGCAGCAAACCCGTGCACATGGACTCCAGCTCCATCACCTCCTCAAACCAGTCGTCCAGTCCGCCTAGTTTGGACCACAGGAGCGGGAGCTCCGCCAACTCGGAACTGAAGAGCGGTGGCCCGCAGGTGCACCCGGTCTCTACGTCCCTGTCCTCGCTGCACTCTATGGCCCACGAATCCCAGCTGCACCTCAAAGGAGACCCCCATTACTCCTTCAACCACCCGTTTTCCATCAATAATTTAATGTCTTCTTCAGAGCAACAGCATAAACTGGAATTGAAAGCCTACGAACAAGCGTTGCAATATTCCTCCTACGGCTCAGGGATGTCTTCCAATTTGCCCATGGCCGGGAGAGCCAGCATGGACCCTTCGGCGGCTTTAGAGGCCTCTTACTACCAAGGTGTGTATTCCAGGCCTGTTCTCAATACATCGTAGTCAGTTGCCAGCGAAAAAAAAAACAAAACAAACGAAAAACAAACTTTATTTTATTTTTTGCATGCACTTGGTGCAAAAGAACTGTTACTTTAAAATATAACAAAATGTGTATGTGTATAATAAAATATTGTAAAGTGTTCCCAATGATTGTATATCCCAGTTATAAATCATTGCTAGTGTATTTAAATCATTTTGAGCTTGTAAAAATACTCGTTGTGATCCCCAAACTTGTAGTTCCCCCATTGTGTTACAACGTGCACGAATGAAGGTCAACTTTTGGTCTTGTTGCTGGTATAAAAGCGAAGCCCCTGTCTGTTGCAGATGTATTTGAATGTTGTCATTTTACTCATTATTTTTGGGGTCTACTTACCTCGTTTTGACAAAAACACTTCCCAATCTTGTATTGAAATAAATTAATCCAAGGTGGAAATGCATTGTGAATAAAATATGTATTTCTTAATCAAGCAAAACGTTTGTGACATTTTATGGAAAGATGTAAAATTATGAAGGCGCATTCATGCATGTATTGTGTCATTGTGAAATTGTATCTGCAATTACTACTATTGCTATTATTATTATCAATAATAATTATTATTGAACTGTTCAAGATTTCAAAATTAACCGATTATCTTTCCAATCTCCTCCTTTTTTTGCATTTGCATTATTTTAGGTCTACAACATGCTCGATAGCATCAGTAAGACTTTAAATTAAAATACAAATGTACTCTTTTCAATCAAGTGCATTTCTCCTGTATAGGCTGTGTGCTCTCCAGCTTTTGGCCGAGCTCGTCTGTTTTTGACTCGATGTTGGTAAAAGACCAAGAGAAAATCCAAGTCTAACACACGCGCAGCCTCAAAGACTGCCTTCATAAAAGATCCGATCTCGTTTTAAATGGGATTTTAAACAATATCATAGAGAGGCCAAATCATCTTTTTGTGCAGCGTAACCTACATGATGGGCACGTGAACCTGAACAGATTTGACTTTGATCATGGTATTTTGTATACACGCATTTTGGCTGAGAAGCCGTGAAATTCATTTAATTATCTTGTAATTCCCCCCCGATGCGTAAATAAAATGGATAATTGACCCAAGGCTTGAGAAATCTCGAGATGCGAAGATTATAAAATAAATATATACATCTGATATCTATATATTTTATTTGCAATACGAATAAAAATAATAATAATAAACTCAATTTGTTCCGTTGCGATCGATTTATATGATTTTGAATTTAAGCACCATCAGCTTTAAGGCGAAGAAGTTCAAATTAATCGCAATAAATTATATTCAAAATGTATTTAAAAAAAAAACTACTCGACAGCATTTAAAAAATAAAATTGACCTTTTTTTTAGAGGGAAACGATTTAAATGTACAATTAATTTTAATGACGTGTTTGAACATAATGTAAATGATCTTCTCTAATCATGCGCATGCCGCATTCAGTGCATTGTAAAACACAATGTTTTAGTTTATTAACTAAAATAAAGATCAAAATGAAAATAATCTGGATTTACAAATAAATTAAATACTATACAATTTGATTCTAATGTTTTAACTCATGCATTAAATCAACTGTACTATCGCATATTATCGCTGTCTAATTTGATTATGTATGTTTGGTTCACACATAATCAAAGGCTTTATCGGATATTATGGTTTTATTTAAATCTTTATGATAGAAAGGTAACTTGATTCGGTTCAATTAGAAAAAAAACAACAACCAAAGATTATTAATTATCGGTCCGCAAAATAATAATAATACAATACAAATATTTAACATTTTATAGAAAACGAATGCATAACGACCTGCTTATTTACCTCTCATATATAATGCAATCTAACGCGTGCATGTATAATTTAGATATGCAATCAACTGCATGGGAATTTGGTCGTTTGCAATTGACGCAATTTCTATAACGCTCCTAGATTGCGTTGTACAATTAATGCACGAGGCAAACTCGTCGAAGGCGTAACATATGCGATCAGCAGGCAGTGTCCAAACTTATGTGGCATTTCTCGTTCCCCCATCAAAAGCTCTGGCGCTTTCTTCAGCCTTATGGAGCAAAATTTCGACAACAATGCGCACGGCCCTTTAGTTCAAAGCGCCCATCAGCGGGTCTACCGTAGACCTTTCTTCTCGCTCTTTTCATTCTGCGTTTGGAAAAGCACTACAGGGCCAAGGCGCTCCTAATACCTTCTGATGGGGATTGAATTAATTATCTCCAATAACACAATTGTGCTTGGCCAACGAAAAGAGCAAAGCAAAACCCCTTCAGAATCACACACACACACGAAAGAAAGGGCCTTTGAAAGGGCGAGAGAGAAGAGGGAGAGATCTCTATCCGACATCAGCTTTAGAAGCAGCTGCTTTTCCATTAAAAATGATACGGGAGAAGTTTATTAGAGCTTTGTGCCCCTCTAATATGCGTCGACCATGTCAGGTTGGTGGTCTCGCTCTCCCATGTTTTGTGTCTTCATTATTCTGCAGCAGGGGCTCTGCATGGGTAGAAACAGCCAGTTGGTTTCGGTAGACTTTTATTGGGCGGGTGGAAATAAAAACTCCAACTTGTGCATTTATTTTGTTATTAAAAATACATTCGATTTTTTTACATTCATGTATATTATTTGATGATCATCTTATTTTTTAAATAAACTTAGTGCATTCATTTATTGCATGCATTTTTTTTTACAAATGTTATTTATTTAACATTCGGTGAGCTATAATTGTTATAAAGCCTCCGTTAATTAATTATTTTTCATTATTCGATCAGCATTTATTTTATATAAAGCTATATTAAACTTATTAATTTATTTTATAAATCATGTATTGTTAATATTTATGCTACTCTTGTTTATTTATTTATTTAGCGTTCATTTTAAATAAAAAAACACTAAAATGCATTTTTAATTTTTGATCTCTTTTAAATGTTACTTATTCATTTTCTTTATTTTTCAATGAGAAATTATTTCGGATTTAACTGTCCAGATACACTAATTAATGCATTATTATTATTAATGCAAGGAGCATTTTAAAGTTTATTAGCTAAATAACGCACTTGGAATAATAATAATAATAATAATAATAATAATAATAATAATAATAATATTCCTGAACATATATTTATCACTAAACATATCTAATAATTAGGGTTAGAAGGCTATTTTGAAATTGCGCACTTCTCTAAATCAATATATCACGTTGTACCCGCAAAACTCACGAACAAAACACAATTTAAACCCCTCAAACAGCACACAAATTAACCATCTTAACCTGTGAAAAAATAAAAACACCCCACAGATTTATTATTTGTGCACAAATAAACAGCTACTATGAGCAAAACAGAAGCAGACAGAGAGAGAAAAGAGAGAGAGAGCTTGAAATATTTGGTGTCGTTATAGCAACCGGATCAGTGGTGCTTTTCTCCGAGGGTCATTCAATATGTGCAGCCGAAACACGGTTTTAATTAAAGCGTATAAAAGTTTTTTTGTAAGTCGATGATCACGCACACTGAATTTTGGGAGGCGGTAATGGGGGCATTTCACTCCACATGGTCTTATAAACACAGACTCGAGCCTCCACACCCACTCTGAACATCCACATCTCAAACAAATCATTTAAAAAAGCATGCGCGTCTCAATACAAAAGTTTGGTCTGGAGCGCAAAATGTTGCACCATCAAAAGCGCAAGTGTTTTCCATAGGGTTGTGAAGGGACACCCAGGTTGTGGCTTCTCCAGGGAAACTATAGGAGGAAAAATCGACAAGCTTGTCTGGGTGTCGGACGTTTATTTGAGGGGAGGGAAACTCAGCGGCACGCCTGGCCTTCTTTATTCGCCTCTGCATCTATAACATATTTCTGAGTACACAATCGATCAGGCCGAAAAACAGCTCTGTTGAAGGACGGCCGGGGAAAGGCAACATAAACCATGCTTATATAATTGTTTGGGGTATCTAGTCGTTGATAAAGGTCGACAGATCTCTTTGGTCCATTTTATGTTTGTCAATTATCAGCATGCAAAGCACTCGCCATTGAACAGCCACTGCACAAGCTGGAGAACTCAAAGAATTCGGAGGGTTTTTAAAGGTTTCATTACATCTGCGAAATGCTTTGTGTCTATTTATATACATTATTCGATGAGCATTTAAAAATATATACGTAACGTGCATTCCTTTATTGCATTTATTATTTACGAATGTTGTTTTTTTATATATTTGATGAGCTTTCATTTTTAAAAACCCTCAATTAATTCATTTAATTTTATGATTAGATCCGCATTAATAGTGTCTTCGTTTCTTTTCTTTTATAAATGACATAAATGTCTAAATGACACCAGACATATCTGCAGAATTTCCATCTCATTTAGCTTCTCAACGATTATTATTATTTACTAAATCTTCATTTAATAATGGTATTAACGGTGACATTCATTATTTAAGTTAATACAATTTAATTATTGCAAAATTCAGCAGATTATTTTACTTTTTATGCATAATTTCGGGCTCTAATTTTAAACGAGGTAAACAATAATATTAATTTAAGAACAAGTTTATGTAACACAAAAATAGTAGCAATAACACTGTCAAATTTGACAGATTTTATCTGGGCTATGATTTTAGTATTTAGTAATAGTGTTAAAAGTAATAATACACATTTTAGAGCATGCTTTTTAGAGAGTAATACATAATAAATGAAATATTAAATAAAATAAAAATATTATAATAAATATTAATTGCAAACATTCACAATATTAAGCATTTAAATGTTTTTCATTAAAAAAAGAGATAAGTTATGCATTTATGTGTTATAAATACACTCTAAAATGCTTGTATTAATTATATTACATTCACTGTTGTGAATATCCTTTATTACATTTTTTTTTTTATTTAAAATGGACTCTGGGTTGTTATAACCCAAAAGTGAGTTAAATATGGACAAACCCAAAGTCTTTTTTCTTTCTTTCTTTTTTATATTAAATTTAAATGACACTTCAACCCAGCTGGGTTTCTCTATATTTGACCCAACATTGGGTGCATTTTGATTTTAAAAACTAAATGTAATATAATTAATATAAATAATTATTACATACAATTTACCCAACTTTCCCACAGCGTTGCAGCCGGAAGGGCATCTGCTGCGTAAAACATATGCTGGATATGTTGGTGGTTCATTCTGCTGTGAACTCCCTTTATTCATGTGGGCCAAACATTTAAAACATCTACAGCTCAGATTGTCCATCACCACACTGAAAATAAGGATTAATACTGTTCTATATTCAAGGTAAGTGCTTGCAAACAATATATATGGGCTGAATTTAAACAAACAAATGAAGTTGAACATTACTAAAATTATTTTGTTTGTTTAAATTCAGCTCATTTGAATCTTTTGCAACCAGTTACCTCAAAAAATGTAGGAATTTCAATCAATCATTTATTTCAGTGCATCTTCAATACTTAAAAGCTCCTCCATTGGTCCAAAAAAGCAGGATTTATATGAAGAAGGGAAAAAAGTCTCACTAACTGGATCCAATCAAACTCCTGATGTTTAACCAGACTATATAATGTCGTACGGCAAGTAAGTGTCTGAGAGGAGAAGAAAGAAAAACCTTTGGAGTAGCAGATCGAGTGAAGTATCCACACTCTCATTGGCGACTGCAGAGAGAATGTGGTTAAACATTTACGATGGCGTTTTTTTCTGAGCCTGGCCTGGAATGAGAACAGGACTAAGAGAGAGAGAAAGAAAGAAAGAAAAGAGAGAGCACCACTTCCAGCCTGTGTTTGCCCAGGCCAGGCTTTCGGCTGTTTGCTCAGAGTTAAACGCCGCAGCCTGGTCACCAGATGTGGCCGTCTGCTTGGGTCAGATGACTTTTCGGACACTGCCAGTGCCCACTTTCTTCCGCAACACCTCCACCAAACGCTCCAACCTGAACACACACAGAGAGAGAAAGCAGAAATGAGTGATTGTGTAAATGAAAGAGAGAGCCAGACAAACGCTGGCCGGCTCTTTTGCTGTTTTCGGAGGAGAAGATGCAGAGACTGGATGTAGACACTTCTTAAAGTGGGTGAGACACATCCGTGCTGGTGTCAAGTCCCAAATCCTGCGAATATCCGCCTGCCTTTACTCGGGCAAACAGAAGGCCGTGTGTGGTGTCATGTGATTGGTCGGGGTGAGTAAACCTGCGCTTATGAGGGCGATGATCCCGCAGACTCTGTGGAAACGGAGGGAGATCTAGATGGGTGAAGGGATTCTTCTGAAGCAAACGAATAACGCAGGGATGAAAAGAGAAACTGCTTCTCTCCAGCCAAAACCAATGCCACTGCTGCTCCCCAAATGAATAGTAAAAGACACTCGGAAACTTTGACCTTAGTTCAAATGCTGTTATCACAGGGAAAACAATGTGATTTAAATGATCGGGCACCAAAATATTCTCAGAATTGCAGCACACATATTGAAAAAAAAAAAAAAATATATATATATATATATATATATAATAATAATAATAATAATATATATATATATATATATATATATATATATATATATATATATATATATATATGTATTGCTGTGTGTTTAAAATTAAACCTTTTCAATTCAATTAGGAAAATTTTCTTCCTCATTTGCATGTATGGAGTCTGGTGTCCCCCAAGGCTCAGTTTTTGGCCCAGCTCTTTTTTCCATCTATGCTTCTCTTGGCTGCTATTTGTAAGAAGCATAATGTAAGCTACCATCTATATGCTGATGATATTCAGCTTTATATGCCCATAAAAATGGGAGAAAACTGTTTTACAGTCCTTTTTTTACCTGTTTTAACAAGATTAAGGAATGGTTGGCTGGTCATTTTTTTACACTTGAATGAATCAAAAACTGAAGTACTAGTGTTTGGCCCTCTGAGTGTCTATGAATCTACAATTAATCAATTAGGTTCATTCAAGCCTAAGGTTCACAGTCACGCAAAAAATCTTGGGAGTTATTTTTGACACCGAGTTAAAGTTTGACAAATGAACTTCATTGAAGCAAATGAATTCAGTCATCAAAAGTGGTTTCTATCCATCTCTATCCATCTCTCATTTCTGTCTTCTATAGAGCTGGAAAACATCATCAATGTTTTTATTATGTGCAGATTGGACTACTGCAACTCTTTGTATTCAGGAGTTCAGGAGCATGCAGCTGGTTCAAAATGCAGCTGCTAGGCTTTTAACTGGGACAAAAAAATTTCTAGCATCTCACCTGTTTTATCATCTCTTCACAGGCTCCCAGTCCAATTTAGGATTCAATATAAGTTACTGCTACTTGTTTTTAAAACTTTGACTGGTCTGGCACCTATTTACATCGTTGAGCTGGCATGCTACAGTGAGGCCAATCAGGTTAGAAAACAAGTTTTAGCTAGTTGTCCCCAAAACACGGTTGAAATCAAGAGGTGACGGGGCTTTTTCTGCTACAGCCCCCTGTCTGTGGAATGGTCTGCTTTTACATATTAGGTCATGTTCTTCTCTTGGTGCTTTTAAGTCTCGTCTAAAAAAAAAATCACCTTCTTTCTCTTGGTTTTTGATTGCAAATAATTCATTTTAATCTGTTTTATATATTTTGCTTATTTTTGTATACTGTAAGTATAGATTTTTTATGCTGGTCTTTTTGTAAAGCACTTTGGTCAACATCTGTTGTTTTTAAATATGCTCTATGAATAAAGCAAACATAAACTGCTTATTTAAAATAAGTAGAATCAACACAATTCTTAAGGTTTGTTGGGGACAACTCAATTGGTTTGCGTTCAATCCACTTAAATTTGTAAATATGATTGAGCTAACTTAATTGATTTGTGTTGACTTGTGCCCTTCGGACCCTGTGTTTATCACAATAGACATGTCAGCCCATGTTTCTTGTGGTTCCTGAGCATTTCATCTCATTTAAAGCCTGCAGTCCATAAGAGTGGACGATTGTCATCCAATCCAATGGCAGTAATCAGGCTCAGGATGTTGTAATTTGAAAGAAATCCACTACACTGAAAAGCAGCATGGCATCACTTCACTCCAGATGTAGGCTACATTTAATCATTTATTCATTTTCTTTTCGGCTTAATTAATCAGAGGTCACCACAGCGGAATGAATCACCATCTTATCCAGCATATGTTTTACGAAGCAGATGCCCTTCCAGCTGAATAATTTACAATGTTTTTATTCAGATGTGCTGATATGTTTGCCAATATTTCATAGATTGTAAAAAAAAATCATAAAAGAGGGATTGCACTTACAGTTTAAAATATTTTGTTATATTGCAAGCTTTGGATCAGGATTTTTTTTCAACATGTCTGTCCATTAGGATGTACAACGGGTTCAAAATCTGTTACTGAAATTAAATCTCTAGTAATTGTGATTGAACTTTTTTACATAAACAAGACTTTATCAATGTACCAATTCATTGCTGAAACAATTTCATATGCGGAATATACAGACCTTGATGTTCTTGAGCATATAACAGATGGAAATATCTCAGATGTGGACATTTTGTGGAGTGATGAGGAAGATGAAGTTTGTTATAAACAAGGTGCAATCTGTTCAACAAAAACCTCAAAACTAAGGTAAAATGTTAAAATTTTAATGTTTGTGATTTTGAAAATAAATTTCAAGATTATACCAGCAATCATGCATGTTTTATTTTGGTATTTTATGTGGGTATAATGTTTGGAAATTACAACTGTTCTGACCTGATGTCCATTGAAATGAGCAAACAATATATATATATATATATATATATATATATATATATATATATATATATATATATATATATATACTTAAAAGGTGTTGAATTTTTATTATTGTAATTTGGTCTAATCTATAGGAAGAACTGTAGAAACATACATTTTTCAGAAACTTGCAACATAATTTGGGTCTGAAGGGGTTTAAAGTGTTGTGTATAGGCTGGACAGTATATAAGTATATCTTCAGTTATATAGTATAAAATGCCCTTTTCAAAAAGCTGATGAATACATTTTCAATTAATTTTATTTATGTAATACTCAAGACTTTACGTGTCATGAAGTTTAAAATATTTTATTTATGTATTTATATTTTACATTGTATTCTGAGAAGAAACATAACCACTACACCATGATATACAGAAGACACAGACTAAAATGATGATGATGAGGAGGATGATGATGATGCATTTTATTTAAAGGCGCCTTTCACGACACTCAAGGCACTCAAGGTCACCGTACAGGACAGCTAGAACAGTCATTTCAAATAAAAACACAATAAAAGTCAAACGAATACAACACAAGTTTTAAAATGCAAATTTTAAACTGTGTTTTGACTTTGGATTTAAATTGTGAAAGAGAGTCTAAATTACAGAGATCAGGAGGAAGTGAATTCCAAAGCTGAGGAGCAGAGTGGCTGAAGGATCTGCTTCCCATGGTGACAAGGCGGTCAGAGGGAAAGGTGAGGTGAATGGAAGAAGAAGACCTGAGTGTTCGAGAAGGTGTGGCGATATGAACAAGATTAGCAACGTATGGAGGAGCGAGATTGTGGATGGCTTTAAAAGTGAGAAGAAGTATTTTATAATGAATTCTGAAAAAGATGGAAAGCCAGTAAAGCTGTAGTAGAATGGGTGTGTTGTGACAGATAGAGGGGGACAAATGTCAAGCAGTTCAACAGATTTGGTTTATACCAAAAATCTTTTCAATAATAATTTAATGACGTATTGAACAGAGATTTAGGCATTACAGAGCAGCACTAAAATAGTAATAAGTTGCCATTGTAAATCCTAATACTTTACCACAATTCTTCATGCTACCAGACCTAACCCATTTGTGAATATTAATATTTAATAAATCATATAAAATAATTACTTATTTCGACCTATAATTTTGTAAATATGTATATAAAAACTCATAACAACTTATGTTTTTATGTTACTTTAACTTCATTTAGAAAGTTAATCAGGTTTTAACTTGTTTTTTTTTTTTTAGGTAAAACAAATTTTAAGTCAGCTTAAAATAAAAGTTGTAAAGTTCAATTGGTTCTACTTAAAAATGTAAGAAGCAACAGATTTTCTGAAGTGTAGACACTCACAAAGTGACTTTCAAACTATTCATATAAATTAAGTGGAATCAACACAATTGGGGGGGGGGGGGGGCAACTTAATTGGTTTATGTTCAATCCACTTAAATTTATAAAAATGATTGAGTTAACTTGATAGATTTGTGTTGGGACAACATGAAGGAAATGTGTAGAACCCAACATTTATTTTACAGTGTATGTTGTTGATTTTGTACAAAAATATGTACATCAATGACAATGGAACATTACATATTTTGGTAAGTATACGCTGCTATGGAAAAAAAAAATTGTGTATATAATAATAGTTATGCAAGTGAAATGTAATATTTGATTTATTCTGTAAGCTACTAATGACATTTCTTTCATATCTAAAATAATAATGTTGTCATTAAGAGCAATTTAATCATGAAACAACAGAAGATTTCAGATGTTTATATTGATTTTAAGACAACACACTAGCAAAATTTGATCTCCACAAGAATGATTAAATCAAAATATGGTGGAATAACCCTTATTGTCAATCAGAACTAATGAAAACGTGTATTATTCTGAACTATTATCATTTTTTTGAAAATAAAACTGGAAAGAAATGCTATCAGACCTTTATAATAGAACAAATATTAACATTTTACACACAGCCAAATCTAACCAATCCAGTAAATTAAGAGAAACTGTGAATTTTTTAAGTGGTCTCAATTCTTTTTTTCATAGCTGTACATAAAAGCAATTTGGATACATCTTAATTTCATTAATTTATTTTAGACAATGCATTAAAACAAACGACTAAAGCAAATATGAGTTCATACTTATAAAATCTCTCATAGCTCTCCACAATAAAAGACATTTTTTGTGTATTTGCTC